AATGTAGAGGGTGCCTTGAAATTACATGTCTTCTAGATTAACTGAGGGTAAAGATATTTTTTTTTTTAAGATTTTATTTATTTATTTGAGAGACAAAGAGGGAGAGAGTGAGCAGGAGGGAGAGGGAGAGGCAGACTCTGGGCTGAGTCCATCCCACGACCCCAGGCTTCATCCTGTCTCCGAGATCATGACCTGAGTGGAAACCAAGAGTGAGACACTCAAGTGACTGAACCACCCAGCGACCCCTGAGGGTAAAGATATTTCTCACATGCTATTTTTCAAATATAAGTTATTTTTCAAGACACAAATTTCACTTTATTTTTAAATGCAATTACCTTAGAACAAAATTTCGTTTCTTTGTCCTGAAACATTTTGTACTATTTTTGTAATTAGTCACTAGATTTAGAGAAAAATCAATCTGCTCTGACCAAAACTGGAAAAAGGAAGTGAGAAAGCTTTCCTCTTTCAGCAATACCTTCCCCACTTCCTGCCATGGAGGCCTCTAGGGGTGAGGTCCTAGAACCTTCTAGGAATTACACTAAAATACAGATTGCCAGATGTACTCCTTGAGATTTTGATTCAAGTGTTTCAAAATCTGCATTTAAATATATTGTGTATATATAAATTCACAGTGGCCCTTGATCGCCATTTTGAGAAACTTCTCTAAGGCTTCTATGAATACAGTTAGAAACCACTAACCTAGAATAAGCATACATATTCCCCTAGACATCATTCTGTATCAACAATGAAGTGTGGAGAACTTAATTTTGCCTGCGGGGATGATTTGATACTCCAGATAAATCTTAATATTAAACCTCATTTAACCAACAAATGGGCATTTAGTAAAAAAAAAAAAAAAAAAAAAAAATTGATTTAAGGGCCAAGAACTCAAAACCTTGCTCTCCTTGGGTTCTTGCAGTAAAAATAAGTAAGTTGGATCAAACACAGTCTCCTTCTAGGGGATAAAAACCATTATAAATTTATGGTACTTAGCTATAAACCAATTTACATGCTATGGTAAAATTGCCTGAGCTAAAAGACTAGGCTAATTAAACTGATGCTGGAGGTCAGAGTAGAGAAGTCTGAGATCATATAAAACTACAAATGGGGAGTTCAGTCAGTTGAGCATCTAACTCTTGGTTTCCATCAGGTCATGACACAACAATTCCAAATCTACAATATTCTAAACATATTTAAATTTGAATTAGCTTCAAAGCTCAGGTGCCAGGTGATCCAAATATCTTAATTCAATGTTAAGCAATTAAAAAAATTCTCAACTGAGTAGGACTAATGTTTTTGCCAAGTTCCCTAGTAGTACCCGGTATGCAAATGGATATAAACTCAATTTTCTTCTGTTTTTTTTTTCTTTTCTTTTTTACTACATTATGTTTCTTTTTCCAAAACACTACAAAAATAACTTTTCAACTAAATGTTCCCTGTCACTGTGTAAGTTAAAGGAAATGGAAATTTCACCCAACCCCAATCTCAAAAGAACATGCAAATTGCAACTGATGATATTTACACTGAAAGCATTTACTTTATTTCCCTGGAGTACAGCTGAGAACAGTATTGATTTCTATGTGCCTTGATTTCAATCCTAGGTAAAAATCATGCTTAGGTGCCCTTAGTTGGGCCTTGCTGAGCAGGGTGTAGAAAGGATCCACTCACCAAGCCCTGTCCCAAGGCCATGCCTGCACATCCCCAGCCCAAGAAGAAGTGATACCTTTTTCTAAGTCATATCAAAGTGTTGAATAAAGCAGCTGTACTCTCCACAAACAAAGTGAAAACTAAAGATGTAACTCTTTTTTTTTGGACCACAAAGTTCATTTCAGATACTTAGGTAGAAAGGCTTACAAGTAAGTCCATTAAAGTGTGAAGACCAAATGGTAGAATGTCACTTGGAACATCGCTTCTTTTAGCTTTTACTATTACATTTTCATGATGAAACACACATATTAAGATGTTATCTAAGGGGTGTGTGCGGGGCATAGTCGGTTGTATCTGGCTCTTGGTTTTGGCTCAGGTCAGGATCTCAGGGTCATGGGATTGAGCCCTATATCAGGCTCTGCACTGGGCGTCAAGTCGGCTTGAGATTCTCTCTCTCCCTCTGTCCCCTGCCCCCCCATCCTCTCTCTCTAAAATAAATAAATAAATCTTTAAAAAAAAAAAGATGTTATCTAAGATTTGACTACACAATGAAAACTTCCCTACATATTCCCACACCACCATGACTTCTCTAGACTTTTTATTGCTTCATTAAGTGAGACTTTTTATTCACTTCATTATATGAAGTGAGACAATATTTTGAAATATACAAATGTGCTCTTTCTCTTTTGCGCTTGTTTATGAATGATTTTCACCAACCTGAGCCTGAACCCATCTTTGCCTTAAGAAGAATTGAGATCACAGAATATGAAGACGAAGAAAGAATTAGTGCAGAGCTTTTTGATTTTCAAAATTGGGTCTTGTAAACTATTTCGAACACAATGGGCTTAAAAACCTGGCTTTAAATTTCTGGAGCCACACATCTGAGAGAGAAAAGTATTTTCTAAGTTAGAAAAAGCTTCCCTTTAAATATAAAAAAATAAAATTTGGAAATGGAGCTTGGAGATTTGCTATAAGCCACTGAATAGGATGGATATATGATGCATAAAAACTATTTCTTAGGACAAAGTAAAAATGTCAAACCTTCCTTGGCTGCAGAAGGAGCCTAGAGAGGAGAGGGGAAGATGGCTAGGGGAGATGCAAGCTTAGGGACCACTCCCTTCTCCAGATTCATTGTCATGTAGAGCACATCTATTAAACATTATCTGACTCTTAAATATTCTTATTTAGGGATACCTGGGTGGCTCAGTCAGTTAAGTGTCTGCCTTCCGCTCGGGTCATGATGCCAGGGTTCTGGGATCGAGTCCCACATCGGGCTCCCTGTTCAGCGGGGTGTCTGCTTCTCCCTCTCCCTCTGCCTGCCACTCCCCCTGCTTGTGCGTGCACTCTCTCTCTGTCAAATGAATAAATAAATCTTTAAAATAAATAAATAAATATTCTTATTTAAAATTTAATTTTTTTTACTTTGCAGCCTATAATTATAAAGCACAAATATACAGGTCCTAATCATCAACTAATTCATTCAACAAATAATTATGGAGACTTTTTATGTATCAATCATTTAGAGATAATGCAATAAATAGGGAAGCCACAGACCCTGTGATTACTCAGAGAATGTGCAGTCTTTGGGGGGGGTGCAGAGAAGGCAAGGAGAGAGACAAGGAAGTTAAAAGCCAATTATATCACTGTGCTTATAATATGCTACCACGTTTCTATTCAGACCTTTATCACATAGGAGGGAGATTCTAGTCTGCCTTTTTCTTGATAGAAATACAGATTATTAATGCAGTGCGGTTTGTTTGGATGTGCCAGAGAAACTTTCTGAAATTGCTCTTTGCTTTTCTAGGAGTCAGAAGCAGCCGAAGGAAAATTCGTATACTGAAATCTCCAAAATTAACTGCCAACTGTTGAATGCGATCAAAACACTTGGTATTCATATCTGCCACTCTACATACTTTGGGCAACATGACTGCTAATATCGAAATCAAATGATGGTAATACTGGAACCATTTTAACAAAATAAAACAAAAGAGAGATCAGAAACCAAAGTAAAAAAGTCAGCCCAGAAGATATTGTGGCTCTCTTCGAGTACCAGGTCTTGTTGGCCAAGGCAACGACTGATGGGCAGTTGACATACCACTGTTAGTTTTCTTTGAAACAGAAGCCATAGAAGGGGGGCTCTTGAAGCTTCAACTGAGGGGAGGTGTGAAGGCATAAAGGTTTTGAAAACATTCTCTGTAATATAAATGGGGATCCCTTTGCTGTCTTCAATAGTACTTCCATGAAACCATTAAGAGGAAAGAATGAACGATGGGATCTGATGAGAAGGAAGCACTCAACATATCTGTGGCCTATAAAACAGGGAAAGGTATGAGTTATGAAACCTTGGAAAAAAAAAACCAAAAGAAATGACAATGAAGATCAAAGACTAGAAGAGGAAGGAAAAAAGGGGTGAGGAGAAATAGGAGCTGCAAAAGGAGGAAACAGAGAAAAAATTTGGGCGGGGGAAGGATGGAATAGATAATTTTATTTTTTAATTTCTTTAAAAAAATTTTTTTTTAATTTTTTAAGTAGGCGCCAAGCCCAACATGGGGCTTGAACTCACGACCCTGAGATCAAGAGTCACATGCTCTACTGACTGAGCCAGCAGGTGTCCCTGAATAGATAATCTTAAAACAACATAATAACAGTGTTTTTCAATGAGTAGTGATATTACAAATTGTTTTTCTTACGGTTTTCTCTAGTTTCTACGACTTTTATAAGAGCATTCACAGCTTTTCATTTTTTTTTTTTTTTAAAGATTTTATTTATTTATTTGAGAGAAAGAGACACAGTGAGAGAGGGAACACAAGCAGGGGGAGTGAGAAAGGGAGAAGCAGGCTTCCTGCCGAGCAGGGAGCCCAAGGCGGGGCTCAATCCCAGAACCCTGGGATCATGACCTGAGCCGAAGACAGACGCTTAACCAACGGAGCCACCCAGGCGCCCCAGCTTTTCCTTTTTTTTTTTTTAAGATTTTATTTATTTATTTTGGGAAGCACAAATGGGGTTAAGGAGCAGAGGGAGGGGCAGACCCAAGTGGGGTGAGAGGCAGAGAGAGAAAGGGAGAAGCAGACTCTCCGCTGAGCAGGGAGCCCAACGTGAGGCTCGATGCTGGGACTCCAGGATCATGACCTGAGCTGAAGGCAGACACTTAACCGACTGAGCGCCCCCATTCACAGCTTTTTTAACTGACTAGCTGTATTTTTTTTCTCAGTTCTATATGAAAGAGTACACTTAGCCCATTTAGTCTGTAAATTCATCATTCATTGGCTTAGGGTAAGATGGTGTGGCAGTAATTTGAGAACTGCTTAACACATAGTTCCTAAGAGACATGTTCAAAGTATGTGGTCACTTACGTTGTATGATCCACCGATGGCCTGTGATTTTCTTCCCCATGATGAATACTGATTCCATTACCAAGTCCCCATCTGAAAGTGTTCGAATCTTGAATTCGGTTTTCTGGGATTGGCTGGTACCATTGACACAGGCTTCCTTCTTCAAAGCTGCAAACTTTCGTAGCTTGAATAGAGTAGAACAAAGACAAGATGAGCTAATCACAATAAATGTGTCAATAGGGGCACCTGGGTGGCTCAGGCATTAAGCGTCTGCCTTCAGCTCAGGTCATGATCCCGGGGTCCTGGGATCGAGCCCCGCATCGGGCTCCCTGCTCAGCAGGAAGCCTGCTTGCCCCTCTCCGACTTCCCCTGCTTGTGTTCCTTCTCTCACTGTGTCTCTCTCTGTCAAATAAATAAATAAATCTTTAAAAAAAAAAGTGTCAATAAATGGCAATTTCTCCTATATCAAGCACTTTCTTACTGTTGGGTTTCTTTTTTTCAATTATCTTTTAAGCATAATGAAAATAATTAGACAAATGATTTGTATTATCACTAGAAGAGTTGTAAAGAAATCTACGTGTACTATACTGAAATATCTACAATAGCTATAAATGGAAATAAATGCATATACTAAAGAATTTGTTCTGAAAAGGAGGTGAGATTTTAATTAGGTCCTCAAATAGCAATCTAGGCATTGCCAGTTTCTTCTCACATAACACTGACATTGCTTACCAACTTCTGGTGAGTCTGTTCTTTTGACAAAGCTAAACTTCAGCTCAGCCTTTGAAGGGGTTAGTTCAAATTCCAAACTACTTAAGTTCAAATCAATAGTATTTTCCTTGAAAGTTCTCAATATTCTTGTAATGACTGTATCCTAATATCATATGAAATTACATGTCCAGTGATTTGTGAAATACCTAGGCTGTGTGTGAAATGATCTTTCTTCCTCTCTCTCTGAACGTGTCCATGTGTCTGTCTGTCTTAAATTCTCCACTGTTCCTATGTAGACTGTAGAAGACTCCAGCTTTTAAATGGCATAAGCAATGTTGGAAAACCATCACCATCTTTTAGAAACTCAAGTTCATGATTTAATGTAAAGTTTGAGAAGAAAACACTCCATCAAAAAAAAGAAAGTGATTTTTAATCATAACATTCAAGTGTGTCATTTAATCTCTGACATTAATAGTGATCATATAATTACATTTATCTTGTGAAGAGATCTAAAATTGTTTTCTTTTTTTAATTTGTTTCAGAGGTAGAGTTTAGTGAGTCATCAGTTGCATATAATACCCAGGGTCCTTAATGCCCATCACCCAGTTACCTCATCCCCCACCCCCCGGAGATTTAAAATTCAATAGGATTCTCTTCTTCATATCATTAAAAAAGAAAAGAATCATAGATTTTTTTGAAATTAGAGGGCATAAAGTTTTAGTCAAGCAAGATGAATGAGCTCGAAGATCTGCTGTACAACATTGTACCCATAGTCAACAATAATATATTGTGCACTTAAAAATTTGTTAAGAGGGTAGCTCTCGTGTTATGTTCCTCATACAATAAAAAGCATTAGAAAATGTAAGACCATAGATAACAGGCAGATTTATTATATAATAGTTCATCTTACAAAAAGATGGAGGAAGAAAGATCACATAATTTGTTCAGAGTAATAATTCAGTTCATGTGTATTCATAGTAAATTAATAACCCCATGATTTTAAAATAATAATTTCATAGGAGATGTTCATTCAGGACATTTCAAGAACTGTATCAAAATTGCCCACTTCACCATAAATGACGTAACTAAAATTGCAAAGTTGAACAAAGAAGAAAGTCAGTATTCACTAAAGATACTCATTAGGTGTAATTAACTCAATTCTGTGTAAACTTTCAGAAATACAACAACTTATGTATGATCATACAGGATTTGGCCTTCCCACGAGGAAGTCTGAATACCACAACACTTTCCATTATATTATCTCCCATCTGCAATGCACCGTATGTACCCTTAGCCAACGTGAGTTAATTACTATCTCGTCTCATCCACAGAGTGAGTTAGCTTTGATTTTATGAGTTTTGGGGTCTAGCTAAGTTAGTTAATTTATTGTGTATTTGTACATTAAGAAGCATTTCTTTTTCTAAGTTAAAATAAATATGAACCTTATTTGACTTTTCAAGTTTTAGAATTTCTACGTAATGCTGACAGAAGACAGAATAAAGTTTCACTACACTCTGTATTATCTGCATGGTCTGAACCCTTCATATCATCCAGACACTTGAGAAATATTATAGTATAGGAAATTCATATACCATCCAATAAATAGTGGGGAAGGGGAAAAAATAGCAAAAGTGTTCACTTCTTCTGATCTTGTGCTTTGCCCATGCAGACACAGATCAATTTTTCTCCTCTAAGACTGTATCTCCAGTTGAGACGTTCACTTCTAAATTAAAAATTTGCCTTAAAAGCCATAGATTGGCAGATGCCAAAAAGTAAAAACCATCTTTCAATAGGGACACAGGCGAGGAAGGGCCCATCTATATTAGTATTGGTTCTTATGAATTCTACATATTTAACGTAGTATTCATCTTTCTATTTTGGCACTGGCAAAATTTGAACAAATTCATCTAATTTGAGAGTAATACTTCCACTTTAAACATTCCTATTTCATGAGTGTGAGGAGTAGAATAGAGACAAACAGGGGGGTATATAAAAAAGCAGGTCAATTATAGTCCCAGAGTCAAGTAAAGTCCACGAAACAAGTGTTTTGAATCCAAAACTTCAATTTAAAAACACCTGCCTCTTGTTGAGCATCATAGAAGAATGCATGCTGATTCTTCCACTATAATTTTCTATACAAACAACTTTTATGTTAAGAACCTGCTCTAAGTCAAGTTGAAAATTTCTAACTAGGACACGAGGCCATGCTACTTAAAAATTATACTAATATTGTCTCATCTGTTTTATGCTATGTTTAATACAAAATAGGAATTCACCTACCGCAGAATGATTCATCTGATTGGTCAGGACAGTCATATCTAAAATCACATGTCTGGATTTTTTCAACACAGTGACCATCAGACTTGCAAACAAATTCATCGTCTATACAGTTGTGTGGGGGTAATGTTACTGGAGCTGACATTTCTGGTGGAGTTGGGAGGTCCACTGGCAAAGTACCTTGATAAGAGATAACATGCAGGCATAATTCAGTAATTTTCCACTTAAGATTTTACACAATAAGCTTTTGTTAGTATATTTCACATTGAATATTATAAAGAATATTTGGCAGTCTTTGGTAATAAGCTGAATTTTATGTAAGCATATAAGTTGGAGTCCTCGGTCTTAGCAACAACAAATAACTGGATATAAATAGATGAAGGTGCAGATAGAAATTACTGAAAAACTGTTCAGAACTCACTGAATAAATGGGAGGCTCAAGGACAGGGCTAGGATCACTGGGAATCAAGGGAGTCCCAGATACTGGCATTAGGAATCAGAGTTAAGGTCTGGTTAAACCTTCTAGTCCACTAGGTAAATAAACTTTGCTCTTCCATTGTAACAATTAATCCAGCAACTCCTCATCCTTGTTTCACCAGCCCTCACATATTCAAGGTTGCAAGACAGAGATTCATCTGGAAGTATTTATATAATTAAGATAATAATTTCTGAAATTACAGAGCTTAGAAGAAATTTATAGAAGCTAATTTATACAGTAAGTTATTCAAGCAACATTTATTAATAACACCCCGTGTCATGGACATGGTAGGTACAACAGATTGAAAGCCAAATATGCCATCACTGCTGTAAAATAATTCACTGAGTAGTGGATAAGGCACTCAGGTAAATCTTTCATTACAGTTCCATAGGATACATTTAGGAGAAAGAGTATAACACCATGGAGGCAAGAATGACACCTATCCTTTCACTCCTGCATTCAGAGCATAATTCACAGACCACGGTACATGGTGAGCACACTATCATCACTTAGAAATGACTGAATAGACAGATGGAAAGACGGACGGATGGATGGATGGATGGATGGATGGATGGATGGATGGATGGATGGGTGAGTGAATGAACAGATGGACAACTGGAAGACTGTACAGCATATGGAGAACACATGAAAAGCATACATTAGATGGGAGGCAGGGAATACTTCCTGGAAAAGTAATGTCTTCAGCTTTTAGCTTTATTTTTTTAAAAGATTTTATTTATTTATATGAGGGAGAAAGAGAGAGAGTGTATGCACAAGCATGGGGAGGGGCAGAAGGAGTGGGAGAAGCAGACTCCCTGATGAGCACAGAGCCCCACAAAGGGCTCTATCCCAGGACCCTGAGATCATGACCTGGGCCAAAGTCAGATGCTTAATCAACTGAACCACCCAGACATCCCAAGTTTTTAGCTTTAAAAGATGAGTTGCTGGCGAGATGAAAATGGGTATAAGGTCCTTTTGGGCAATGAGCAAAGATTTGTGTGAAGGCAGAGAAATATACTGGCCCATTGTTTTTGGAATGCTGTGAGAATTTGGCATAGAGAACATCTTGTGACAGAGTAAGAATGTGTGTGATAAAGTCACTAGATGTGGAACTGGTTGGGAGACAATTAGCACATCATAAAGAGCTAAGTGGGACCAATTTAGGAGTTTGAAATAAATATAAAAAGCGGTGGAGAAATGCCAAAGTATACAATTTCCACTTTAAGAAATACTTTTCTGGCATTAGTGTGAAGAATGATTTGCAGGTGGTTCTGGCATGGAAGAAAACAGCTAAGCTTTTACTTTAATTCCAGGCAACTAATAAACCAAAGCAAGAGAGTGTGGAGGAAAGAGCAGAGACCTGAGCAATATTAAACATCCAATATCTAGAGGACTGGGGATTTAGGTGCTATTGGGAATTTGAGGAAAGTCCAATAAGTACTATCTTGTTTCTCAGCTCAAGTTTTGAAGTAATTAAGAGCTAAGACTGAAGCATATAGGAGATAAATCAAAATATCAACATTTTATGGATGAAGTTGACAATGATCTACATCTCTAGACAAGTGGTCTTTTAAAGCATAAAACTCAGAAAGAAACAGCCTCTCTAAATTATAATCTATGCTGGAAACTTCCAGCTCTCCTTGTATGGAAGCCTCCCATTGTGAACTACAGCAAGAAGTTAAGCAGATCTCCTGCTTCCTTCAGCAAACTAGCTCAAAAAAAAAAAAAAAAAAAAGAAAGAAAGAAACTAAGAGAACAGGTATGCATGCTCAGGCCCTCCTTGCAAACTCAGCAATCGTCGTTACTTTTCCACAGTTGACATTAGGGTTCACTAGTGGGGTTTTACTCACTATGGGTTTTAACAAATGTACAATGATGCTTCCACCATTAGAGTGTCATACAGAGTGGTTTCACTGCACTAAAAATCCTTCATGCTCTGCCTTGCCATCCCCCTTTGCCTGAGTCCCTGGCAACCATGGATCATTTTACTGTCTATAGCGTTCCCTTTCACAGAGTGTCATATAGTTGGAATCATATAATATGTTACCTTTTCAGATCAGCTTCTTCCCCTTAATGATACGCATTTAAGTTTACACCAGGTCATTTCATGGCTTGACAGTTCATTTCTTTCCAGCACTGAATAGTATTCACTGCTTTAGGGCATTCAATTAAATGAATACTCAGTTAAATATTTATTGTATGAATAGTCTGTATCTCTTCTCAAGCAGGCCAGGACCTTAATATACCTTCCTTACTATAAAATATTAAAGTGTACTATAATACACATTGCTGTACATTTCTCTTTGAACATTTCTTTGTGAACACATGCCAACGTATTTCCAAGACAAAGCATCTTGAAATGAAATTGCAGTTATAGGGTATGTGATCAGTCAACTTAAGTAGTTGTTTTCAAAAGTGGTTTTACCCATTTCCACTCAGAAATGTGTGCATTTCTCATATTCTCAGAATCCAGCTAACACTTGGCATTATCCAATGTAAGAAATATTTGCCAGTATCATGGGTCTGAAATAATTCCTTTGTATTTTAACTTGTATTTCCCTAAGTATTGAGAACTTTTTTTAATTTTAGGGGCTACTCAGGTACCTTACTCTAGCTTTTGACTAACTGTTCAGATTCCCTGTTCTTTTTTCCTATTGAATTCTTTGTTTTTTCTTATTAATTTATGGTTTATTTCCCATATACTCTATACTAATCCTCTGTCATTTACCTCGGTGACAAATATGTTCTACTAATCTATGATAGGTCTTTTCATTTTGTATGGTGTCTTTCAAAATAAAAATTTCTAATTTAATGCCTTTCAATTTATCAGTTATTTAGAGTTGGTGGTTTAAAGCTGCAATGGAAAAAAAATTCGTTCCTGATTTAATATTATCAATATTTTTTTCTATAATTTTCACACAATTTTGATAGTTTTACTCTTCACATTTAGGTCTTTGTTATCTGTTGTCTGTGATAAGAATCTAAATTCAATTTTTTTTGTATGAATGTCTGATTTTGGATCTACTAATATATTGGGCAAGTCAAATTTTTCTCACTTATTCCATATTTGATTATGAAATGTATTACTCATATATAAGAATGGATAGAAAACATATGCCTGGTTTAAACAGTAATGAAAAGAATAGCCATAAATCTACCATCCAGCTTATGAAATTAAAATTCACAGCTTTGAACCCTCCACTGTTTCCCTGCTGATCACATATTGCCATCTCTCCAGGTTAGCAGTACGCTGATCTTGTGTTTTTCATTCCTGTTTTCATTTGCTTTTTTTTGAAAGATTTATTTATTTTTCAGAGATAGAGAGCACACATGGCGGGGGGGGGGGGCAGTGTGGGAAGCAGAAGTAGAGAGACAAGCAGACTCCACACTGAGCATGGAGCCCAAAATGAGGCTCAATCTCACAACCCTGAGATCATGACCTGAGCCAAAATCAAGAGCTGGATGTTTAGCTGACTGAGTGACCCAGGCACCTCTGTTTTCATTTGCTTTTATCATTTTCCTCATTTGCATATATGCCAGATAACCTTCTAAGTGCCTATTAGTTCATTATTTGATTAAATGAGTTGACGTGAACTTCTTAGAACAGTGACTATACAGATGGAATACCACATAGGTCCTTTTTAAGTAAATAAACCATTTAAATTTGAAATCGGATGGACTCATTCTCTATGTAACTTTCGGCAACTTAATTTATTTCCTCAGCAATGTGCATTCACCCATCCATGTTAATTATGCTCTTGCAGTTCACTTATTTTGACTGCTGTATAAGATTTAACTATGTGATCATATATATTATTTAGCCATTCTATCATCAGTGGGTTGTTTTTTTTTTTAGCTGATTCTGTTTGAGGTTTTATTTCATCCATTTCCCCTGATTTTTCTAGGAGTGGAATTGCTTAGTCAGAGAGAATGGAGAACTGTATGTCAACTTTACAAGAAAAAGCTAAACTGTTTTCCAAAGTCATTGCATCAATTTCCATACCTCCCAGCAGTGTATAAATATTCTGATTGTGTTGTGCACACATTATCCACTGGCGTATGTAGATTTACCCATGTGTTTGCCACTTTCTCTGCTGTCTATTCCCTTGTGTATCTCAGCCCTTGTTGAGCTCATTTTATCTTTGATGCTCACATTTACATAGATTATTTGATAAGAGTCTGCTGCAGTAGTCTTCTTTTGTGTATTTGCAGATATTATCCTCTGAATGCCTTTTCTCACCCTCATTCCTGAGGTTTTTTTTGCTCTAGGCTAACAGTTATTATTTCTCCAGAACTTTTAAATTATATTCAACTGTCTTCTGACTCTCATGCTTGTTGTTGTGAAGTCCGTCATGAATCTAATTGCGGTCTTTTTGTAATTGTATTTTAATCTCTGGCTATTTTTAACATAATCTCTTTTCTTTGATGTTTTTATAATTTATTTCCCTGGACTTATTCGTACTATAATATTTGTATGAGGTTCACTACACTTCTAAATCTATGCCTTACATTAATTTTAAGCCAGTATAGTCTTTCAAAATGACTTCTCCATTTTCTTTATTCTCTTTCTGGAACTCCAACAGCTTTTATAATCAATCCTTCAAGTTGAGTCTACTCCTCCATTTTCCCCCTCTGTATCTCTATATATATTGCTCTCTGAAATTCTCTCATACCTATTTTCCCATTGAGAAATCAAAACATC